AGATAGATAGATAGATAGATAGATAGATAGATAGATAGATAGATAGACGGATGGATGATAGAGTTCCAGTCTTAAGCAAATGCTTTCCATTTTACCTTGTCAGAGCAGTTGACTTTAGCTCCATGTTGCAGCAACAGTTGCACAATACGAGAATGGCCTCGACCTGCTGCCCAAATTATCGGATACACACTATATTGCTAAAAGAAAAACAGTTGAAAACAGTAAGAATAAAATGTTATTGTCTCACCTGTTTTCAGGCTCACTTCAGTTATCAGATATGAGTCTGATTCAATCCAGTATGTTAGAAATAAAATAAAATAAAAAATAAAGTGATTTCTTTTTAATAAAAGTTCAATTAATCTTCATAGTTGATATTAGGAAAACAGTACAGAAATTAATTTCATCAATAATAGCAATTAAAGAGCAATATTCTGTCTCTATTGACAGAACCAAATTAATATAAGTTTTTCAAGCACAGCTACAAAATACAGTTAATCTACATGGAACAAGAACTTTTGAGCATGGAAGCAAGTTCTCTTCTGCTTAACCAACATTTCCTTTAACGTTGAAAGCAGCAAAACATGGCTGAGTGTGCCTTTTTCTATAGTGGAGAATTTCTATTATGAGGGGTCTTCAGTTCTCTATGAGCTTGATTGTTTTCTTGAAGACATTTCTAGACTAGTTAGCACCATCATTTATAAATATTCATTTTATCAGTATTCATTTCTATTATCTTGAATTAATTCTGCAGGTAATTAGTTGCATAATGTTAAATTAAAATTATTGTTTTAAAGTGCAACCAGACATTTTTAAAAGCATTACAGGTAGTCCTTGTTTGGCAATCATTCATATTTACAATGGTGAGAAAAAGGAACTTTATGACCTATCCTTGCATTTTCAACCTTCACAGGCCTGTATATCAAAGGAAAGCTGAAGCAAGATCATAAGCACAGTTGCATTTCACTTAGCCATCACTTTGCTTAATGACTGAGTTGCCAGTCCCAATTGTAGTAATTAAAAAGGACTACCTATATAGTCTTTTATAAGGAAATATTAATTTTACACAAACTAAAAATGGCTAGTGCTAGAGTAATAGCCAACAGAAGAATTTCTACCTCACATTCTGTAATTATCTGAATATTATTATTCAAGATAAACAATTCCAAATGCAAATTAAATAAAGTTAATGTTTGACTGCAAAAAGGGAAAAAATGAACTTACTATACCAGTGATGTTTGGGTTTGCTCCTCTTTCAAGAAGCAGTTCAGCTACTTCAGTAGAGCCTTTGTAACATGCCCACATAAGGGCTGTCCACCCACCCTAAAACCATAAAACAGAAAAGCATAGCATTCCTACAATTAAACAAAAGATTAATCTACATAATTGGTTAATTATCTTCAAGACACCAATATATATTCATTTCCAAAGTGTTATGTTGCAAAAAACCAAAGTCCTAAGGACCTTAAAAATAATAAATGTCTCATTGTGTAAGATTTGGGATCCATTTAATCTGAAGCACAGAGCATTACCCTCACTTATGGTATCTATATAAATACAGCTGCACATATAGACATGAAAATGTGTACAACACTTCCACTCAATCAACCTCAGTCTTGATCTTTCTACACACTATGTGACTTTTTTTTACATATACTGTAGTAAACAAGACAGAAAGGAAATACATGTAACAATGAGGCAAAGGAAAGTGAAATGCAAAAAGTATAGATTTTATTCATATAAAACCTGCTCACCTCATAACAGAATTCTCGGTGGCTTATAACACTAAGTAGTAGATATCACCTTACTGATGGGATTATTTTCTGAATTGTTACACTTACACACACACACACACACACACACACACACACACACACACACATTCTATTATGTAAAGCATCTATATGAACTTCTGGCATTACACTCCAAGAAACAATCACCCAACCCTGTTTATAACACACCCAAATTCAGTTCTAACAACATAATTAAAAGGAGCTAAATAGTATATAGATAGTTCTCAAGTGATGACAACAATTGGGATTGGGACTGCCATTATTAATAGTGCAGTTGGAAAGTGCAATGTCCTGAGTACATCACTTGGCGATAACAATCCCAGCAGTCCTGGCTGTCATAGTAACTTTAAGGGTATTCAGAGGAATGCAGCAGGAATCCCACTAAGAATCATACAAGCGGGGTTGAAGAGGCCAGGGCATGCACTAAGGAGGCTAGTGCATGAGTTCAGGGAAGGGTTGGAAGGAGGCCTGGTGCAGATTTGCACAAGTAACAAATAAAGATACTGGAGAAGTAACCGTTTGATGTTATTATAAAAGTAAAAAATATACCATGTCCCGATGTTCTATATTCACATTGCATGCTAAGAGTTCTGATACAATAGCAATATGCCCCTCTTTAGATGCAGAGATAAGAGCTGTCCAGTTATCCTAAAATAAGGCAATCAAAGAAGGAAAATGTCAGAGTTTTATAAGTATTTAAGAACAGGTTTTTATATTTATTTAATTTATTAAACATTAAACAAATTTATATAGCTGCTCATGTACTAGAAAGAACTTTCAGCTAGTTGTAAACAAAATAAAAATACAACACACCTTTTTTTTTAAAGTAAGGTTGAGGCCTTAATAATAATAAATTATTAAATTTGTATACAACCTGACTGTCAATGGTTCTGGACAGTTCACAACAGGGGTGTCAAACTCATGTTGTCGTCACGTGACTTATCAGGACTTTTTTCCCCTTAGCTAAACCAGGGGTAGGCGTGGCCAGCACGTGACGCATTCAGCCCCTGGGCCATAAGTTTGACACTCCTGGCTCACAACAATCAAAGAAATTACAATAAAATCATATTTTTTTAAAAAAAGTAAAACTCGCATTCATCTATCTGCCTGCCATCTCCATTAATAACTTAGTCACAATGCCTGAGGAAAAAGCCAAGTCCTCATGACTTTTGTCAAGGGCAACAGGGTTGCAATAATCCATATCTCCAAGACAAGGATATTCCTTAAGGCCGGTGCCATGACAGAGAAGGCACACTTCCAAGGACCCATCAAATGACATTATCTCACTGAGGGAACCCAAAGCATTGCTGAATCTATTAGGACAGGCAGAAACCACCAATCAAAAGATTGTTCTATCTTAATTAACTCCCTTAAACTATTAAGCTTTAACAAAGAACGATTTGCTTTATTACTGTAACAACAAACAATAGGATGGAATGGCACAGTTTTATCTGTTGTAGATTTTGTGTTCATGGGTCTGATTTCAAGATACATACAGGCTGATGGCAAATTAAATGTGCTGGAGGAGAGATAAAGTATGAAGCAGAATACGCGTCTTAGTACTTACTGAATCTTCCAAGTTACAGTTGGCGCCTTTTTTTATCAGTTCTTGGACAATTTCTAAATTGCCTTGCTCTGCAGCTAGCATTAAAGGAGTCTGACCATTCTGCAATCATTAAAAAAACATACATACAGGAAAAAGCTAATTAAGAGAATATCTAACAATTCTTATAGCAGAAAGCCATGTAAGTATTCAAGGTTTACTTAGACACTGAAGCATACCTCCTAAAACAGTATTTTAAAAAAACCACACACAACAGGTAGTCCTCATTTAATAACCCTAATTGGGACCAGCAACTTTGCCACTAAGCAAAACATCAAATGGCCCCATTGGCTTACAATGGCTGTTCCAACAGACCTGGTTTTGGCTATTAAGTAAGAGATCAGGTGATTTGTTATTTACAGCCTCCTGCTGGGTTCATCACAACTTTGCTTGTTGGAAGCCGGCAGGTCACAAATGGTGATCATGTGACCACACAATGTTGCACAAAAGTGGTTGAGTGCCTAAATTGTGATTATATGACTGCAAGGATGTCACAACTGTTACTAAGTATGAAGACTGGCCATAAATCACTTTCTTCAGTGCCACTGTGACTTCAAACACTTGCCAAATAAATTATTAAGTGAGAACTGTCTGTTGTCCGGATTCAATAAAACATTAACAAACAATTTTAGGTAATACAATATCTTGTAACAAGGTCATATTTGTGAATCCTAGGATTTGGTTTTGAAATTCAATTTCATCTTATAGAACAGGGCAGCAACTATTTATTGATTGTAAAAATTCTTGTTAAAATGTTTCATAATTTAAACATTAAACAGTTTCAATCCCTTTATATTAAAGCCTTAAAAACAAATACACAATTTCTACCCCATCAAATCAAGAGATTCTGAACAGCTTACAGTAATGTACAAGCAAACAAAAATAAACAAATAATTTATTAAATTAAAATTAAAACATGAATTAAAATAATAAAACTAGAAGAAAGCCAACAGAAGCGTTCAAACCCAAGGAAATAAGGAAGCATTGTGGTCTCTTTTTTAAAGCATAGAGGTGAGGGAACCAGCCACACTTGTTCCATAATACAAGGGTGTCTTCTTCCTCACTTCCATCCCATCCCCTTCATATTTTGGGAGGCAGATGTGATTTCCCCTTTCTTGGCCATTTGCACAGGGCAGACACTGTACATGGATCAGGTAATCAAAAGTAAGTTTGACCCAGACCATTGGGTTTTATAGGTCATACCTAACACTCTGAATTGGACCTTATAATTCTAAGATAGCTCTTGTCCATCAGCAATCACATTAGCAAAGTCAAATTCACTTAATGAATGCATGACTCCCTTATTGACTGTGGTGATTCATTAACCACGCAAAAAGGTTATAAAGTTGGGTGTCTCATTTAATGACTGCCTTGCTTAATAACAGAAGTTCTGGTCAGAATTGTGGTTGTGAGTCAAAGACTATCAGTGTTCATAGTATCGAGAATCCTGCATACATTCTTAGAGCATGCAAGCTGAACCATAAACCTGATTTTCACTGCAGAAAGTTATCCCAACTGTCTTACGTGAATCTTCCCAAATGAAATCCAAAAGTAACTGTAAGTCGCTAGCACTCTAAGTCCCTGTTCATTGTTCATCTATTGAATCCTCAGTAAACCAAGCAACAGACCAGGATTAACTAACATAGAAGGGCTGCTTGGAGATTCCCAGCTAGTCTCGTGGCAGAATTATCTTTCATAAAGCATCAAAGGTTCTCTGCCTCTGCAGAGACTGGCAAAGGGGCTAAACTACAGACTAGCAAAAAGGTAATCTGACCATATCAATGTCCCACATTTAATTAATCACAAATTAATTGCTCTGAAATGGCAAACAGAATGGACATATGCCATGGTCCCACAGGCTCTGAAGACTTCTGGATAGTTTTCAAAGTGTTCACTTCACATTTTACCATACCTCGTCCCTCTCATCCACATCTTTGCACTTCTCAAGAAATGCTTTCAAAGCAGGAACATTTTCTTCTTCCACATAAGTCACCAAACTCTGAGACATCAGATTAGCCATCCTTAGCAGTCAGGTTCCACAATGCCAGTTATCTACATAAACAAAAGGAACCATTTTAATATGTCAATAACATACTGGAAGAGGCAGGTGACAAAATAACTTCATGCCTATCACTACCGGTAGAAAAAAATCATTTCAGTTATATCTGTATACAAATAATGTTCAAGGACTCAGCTTTTTAGTGTCATAATAATAAAGAAATAATTAAAATAAATGAATTGCAAACAAAATGTTGTGTACATTCTAAACTTTTATTTGGTTAATTTAGTTTGATAGAGCAATAGCAATTTCTCTTTAAAATGTCTTACTTTATTTTATACCACAGCTTTATTTTACATCTGATAATAATAAAGAAATTGATGCCAAGTATATAAATACTTCCTTTAACCATATATTTAGCAGCACTGCTGTATTTTGGATTGTCATAGTTCAAAAATATACACTAAAAGAAACCACTTAGAAAGAAGAAATATGTATTTCAAAAAAAGTTCAACTAAGGCCTTGCTCAAAATATGACAATACAACAGAGGTCATCTGTTACTATTTGAAATAACAAATAAACCTATGCATACCACAACTGATGTGCAATGCCCTCATGCTTTTAAGAGTTTGCTTCTAGTCTCTCTGGAAGAATTACAGGCTTTTTACTTCCAGCAATAGGACAGATACGGCTAAGAGATCAAATTTTCATCTTTCCTTTATCTACCCAATTTTGCACAAATGATACGAAGACCATGACCATCACGTAAGCAAAAATTCATATGTATACTTTTGTAATTTGTCATAACTATCTTAGTTTCTTTAGAAAATCAATTTCAGATACTTTAATTGTCTGAAAGAATACATGTTAAAAAGCACATGGGAAAAAGTGATAAAGATGCATAGAGTAATGTAGAAAGAATTAATAAAGTACAGAAAGTTCAGCTGTTGAGGCTGTATTTCATGCAAAGTGGTATATGTAAATATTATAATTACCACCTAATGCAAGTAAACCTCACTGCTTAGTTGAATTAATTTAAGCCTTTATGGGATTTTCATCATGAAGCCTTTATACTCCAACTTTCTCACTGGCATACAAAATTGTTGAGGTAACATATTATATTTATCCTATTTAATTTACAGCTTGCAATTAAACAAGTGATCATTAGTAATCATTTGCTGATGAAAGATTGTGCAAATGTATTACCATGTGCTTATTTAAATAAGGAAACTAGTAATTTAGTTACAGATAAAACAGAAACTGGAATTCTCTCCTATATTCCAGTTCAGTATACCTTAATATTATTCATCTTGAAGGTAGGAGGTAAAATTTCCATTGCATAAAGATATGCTAATAGATTTTGTAAAAACCAAGGGAAAAGACACATGTGGAAAAGCAATATTCCCTTCATGTTACCTTTCATAACTTGTCATTCCTTCTCAAATAAAATGCATTTCACACTTTACAATGTTGTTTTAACATAAGTGTACTCTGTTGTCACATTTTTTAATAAAAAATCAATATAGAAATTATCCTGATTTGCATACTCTGAGGAAGCAAGTGAATTCTGGGTCTGTTATTATAGAGATTACTTGCAGCAAGACCACCTCACAGAATGTAGACAGAAGTGAGTGGTTTGATCTCCTAGCATTAATAATGAATGCTAATAATAAACTCTTCGAAAAATCAGTTCTGGGTAGAAGTTCAAAATAATAAAAAAGAAGGAACTGAATAAAATATTTCCTGCAGGTCACCAGACAGTACTTCCTAAAAACATGGATGACTACTAAATTTGCAGATACAGCAAATTAATGAAGCTGGAAAAAATACATTCCAATATGTTACTCATATTAATTCAAATAATTCCTATAAGAACTTCCTCAATGATGCTACACAGATGTGTTCATGAAGTCCACAGCAAATTGACTCAATTGAAATGACTATTTTTTTAAAAAAAAATAATGTGTCAGTGTAAAGTAGTGGTTCGGGTCTTGGGAATGACACTAAGGAGATTCAGGTTCCAAAGTGCACCCTTAATAGAGGAAGTTCATTGAGTATCTTTAGACCAGAAATAGTTTCAGTCTAATCCATCTCACAGAGTTGTTGCACAAGAGGGAATACTATATAGTATACACTTTCTTGAGCTCCTGAATGAAAAGGATAATTCTTTATTAAAAAGTCAGTACAGAAACAAAAACTAATTTCCAACCTTTTCTAGAGAAGCCATATTGCAACAAACACAAAAAGCTGAATCCAGAACTCTGATAATTTCACTGTCACTTAAATTGAAACGGGTTGATAGCCATTTTCTAGTTTCACTAAAAAAAAGCTTATTTTATCAGATTTTGAAATATTTTTACATTCTAAAAGTTAAAAAATGGAGTAATATTCAGTGTTTCTGTATGACTTTTAGTGATAAACTTTAAATGGAAATGAAATGCATTCCTGCGTAGACAAAGATTGTTTTTTATTATTTTCCTTGCTTGTCTTTATTTTAATCACTATGCGTGTCATTTTAAACCACAAAATCATGATTATATTTCACCAATATATTCTCAAAAAATTAAAATGTCCACTTCAGATTCTTCCTTTCTTTAAAGGTTGGGAAACCAGAGAAGTACTGTATGGAAAATAGTCTGGATCACTGGCAACAATGCATATCCACCAGTAGGTACCATAAAGATTTACAAAAAGTTACAAAACCTAAACCTACTAGAAAATCAAAGTAAAATTATAAGCAAACAGTAAGGCACATTTGACATCTGTTATAATTATAAACCTCATTTTTTACTCAAGAACTTTTAACATACTGCAAATAACAGATCATAGCTTGTTATTTTGCAAGAAGGTTCTTGTGATCCAACCTATAATTAAGAAAAATGCATAAATCCATTTTTATAGTTTGGTAGCAAGCTGTATCAAGTAATCATATCGCTCTGTAATACTCTATGGATGCCACATCCTGAAGTTTTACAGTCAAAAACAAAAGCTATATATGCTGTAGCATTATTTTACTGATTGATTACCTGTCAGGTGGGACAAAAATACCTGAGGATACACAAGGAAAACCAACTTTTAAACTCCCTGGAAGTGTTAATGAACTGTCTTAGGACAAATATTGAACTGTAGTTTTCATTCTATATTCAAAAGCTAACAACGTATGTTCAGTTCAAGTTTCTAGTAAGACACGTCTTCCCATTCCTGGAAAAAAAGTTAGGAAAATGGCAGGCAAAAAAAGGGAGGGTTTCCACCAATATTCAGTTCTGTTGTTGATCAGTACAGTCTGCCAAGTATTTGAAAGCATGTGGCCTTCACACACACACAAAAATACAGTCCATCTCTACTTTAACCTCAGTGAAAATCTACAATAGGATTAAACATACTTATTTAGCAGGACTCATGGTGAATTCTATACTTCTTAGGATACCTTGGCAAACCTTTTCAGCACTGAGTGCCAAAACAGGAGCGCGCACACGCTTGCAGGGGAGCACCGGAAACCAAAATAGCAGCTCCGTGACACATGCATGTCAGCACCGGAAACCGGAAGAGCAGCTCCCCAGTGCATGCATGCACGCCAGCCACCTATTCTTCCAGTTTTTGGCACACATGTGTGAGTGAAGACTAGCTGGCCAGCACGCATGTGCGCACTGGAAACAGGAAGCTTAGCTTCTGGGTGAGCGCATGTGCACCAGGGGAGCTGCTCTTCCGGTTTCTGGCATTCCTGCAAGTGCAAAAACCAGCTGGCCAGCGTGCATGCACGCACCTGGAAGAACCACAGGCTATGGCTGGCATGCCCAGAGAGATAGCTCTGCATGCCACTTCCGGTACGAGTCATAGATTCGCCATCACGGTCTTAGGATTTACTCAATGTGCACACTTAAAGTGCTATTCTTAGAAATTCAACTTCTGGCTGTAGGAAGTTAGCACCCGTCCCTCTCCTAGAAAATTGAAATATCCTAAGAAATATTAAAAAGGCAGAATATTTCCTCTAAAAAGAGTAGAAACTCAGAAGCAGAAACTCACCTCAGAAGCAGAAACTCACCCCCACCTTTGTTAATGGGTGGGCCATTAAGGCAATACTTTACATAACAAAGATCTCCAGGTAAAGCTATAGCAATTGCCAAAAGCCCTTTTCACTGCATCATCATCCAGCAAGGCTCAACCAAGCCTAGAACTCAGGACAGCCTACAGAGTTGCCCCTGCATAGTCTCATGGGAGACTGACAACCAATCAGAATACAAGCTCCAATTCAAATCCCAATAAAGATTATAAAACCCAGGCACTGTCAGTGCCTCAGACCCTTTTTTGGTCTCTTCCTTCACCTCGAAGCATGTGATCATCCTTCCTTTTCACTCTGGAGCTCCAGGCCATGTGGTCTTGTCCACCATTAAACCTTCCAAACAGCCTCCATGTTTCCAGTGTCTTTTTCCCCCCTTGGAACTGAACCCAGAAGGATAATTCTTCCAACATGGCCAAGACAAAGCTCATGATTTTCCTTATCATTGCTTGATAACATAAAGTCTGAATATCATTTGATGGCTACTGTCATACACTATTTTCTTCTCAATTTGGGTTTTTCCATACTTGAAGCTCAGCTCCACCACACATGCGTGTGCACCTCTCACCGGCCAACTGGTCTTCAGGTCCCTGCTGCACATGTGTGCATGTGCGGGGGTCATGCACGCATGCACAGGGTTGCTCATGTTGCATTTGAGGGGTTCGCGCACGCGCTTTGGGCACTTGAGAGCCGAAAAAGGTTAGCCATCTCTGACTTATAGACTCAAGAGGTAAAGGTGCTTTTATATGACAAAATTTACTGCCTAGTGAGACTTTAAGCCTACAGAATGTTAAATAAGAAAAAATCCATAGAGTAGACTACATATATTGGCTGTACTTTAGTACAGTGCACCAAAAACTCACTCCTGAGTTTATTTTAATAATTGTCACTTTTCAAGGTGTTCGTTATTGTTTTTTCTACAGTGTATAAGCATTACCTACCTTCAGGAAATGGGGGATAAAGCTCCCAAAGAGAAATGGAATGTATTCCTATGTAGACAATTTTAGTAACACAGCAGTTTTAAATAAGAATGCTTAAGATTAGAGCAACTCTATCCATATATCCCAAGAAAAGCAATGGCTCTGACAACATATACAGTACTGTCCCACAGCTGCTATCCAGAACTCTTTCATCTGAAACAATGGCTTAAAAAGCAATTTGCACTCTTTTGCCATAGTAAAGATTTTATCCTTTCTAATTTATTTTTTAATATTCAGAATTAATTTTGTTTAAGTCTGTTAGATCAGGTTTTGAGCTCAACATGTTTTTTTAATATTCTCACAAAATAATTTATATAAGAGAATCATTTGTCTTTTGTATTCATTTTAATTTTTTACAGATAAAATGCTGTGAAGCCAATGTTATCCAGTAATACAGCTACAATTACAAAAAAATCTGTATTACCAACCTTTGACTTTTCTGCAAACAAGTGGAAAGACTCTTATCAAAAATATAGAATTTTACTATATTTAAACAACACTTCGTTTACCACTTAGACAAGTTCAATAATTAACATTTGTTTATCACACAGAACCACTAAGTAGGCTAGAAAAATATCTACTCAGAGTCTGATTATTTACACAACATACTCATTCATGGGTTCCTTAATTTTTGTTTGATTACAAGACACAATGACCCATAAGCATCACTGAGTTCACAAACAACATATAGTTGTGGTTCTAATGTGTTCTGTAAAAATAAAGACATCACTAAATCCAGGTAAATTGACTCTAAAATTGCCCACATCTGGAGGCCCCCAGATTGGTTAAATACTGAACTACTTTATCTGGAAAGCAGCTCTAAGGGTATCTCTCTCTTTCTCTAGCTGCAAATACTAACTCTTCCAAACGATTTTTTAAATATCAAAAATAATTTTAACAAAATATCTTTGGATAGCGAGTGCGCCAATGTTAAGTAGCCAAACTCTTCAATTTCCTCATTGTTTCAACTTCTTTGCTTCATTTGAACTCAAATTTCAAATCCTTTCAAATATCCCTCAGCCACCTTGCAAAATAAAGGGAGCCACATATATTCTTGCCAGGTTTCATCTACAGTATGTCATTCTTAATATGGGTAGTGTGCATTTATCACTTAAGTGCTTTGCAAGACTAGAAATTACACTGGCCTATATAGCTATTTCAGATTTTAATTAAAATACTGACAGCTTTATTGGTTATTATATTGCAAAAGAGATGCCAAAATTTAATGACAAACTTTACAAACTGCAAAATCCATAGAAATGAAGAAGCCTAGGCCAAATGATGGAATACCTACACTAAGTACAATTCCACCTAAATCCCTGCTTCAGAAGGTTGGATCAAACCTCAAAAAAGTCTGGGCAAACCCAAATATGCTGCATTTTATTTTTATATATAAGTCAAGACAGGAAACACACCCAAGGCTCATTCCTCATCCTACTGCCCCTCCACCAACAATCACCCTGTGATTGGATTGAGCTGAGAGCAAGCGGTTGGCCCAAGGTCACCTTAATCAGTTTGCATGCCTAAGGAGGGACTTGAACTCAGGATTTTCCAGGTTATAACCTTATTTCTTAATAAACCCTAGACTCCGAGAGTCTTAAGTTAAACTGGCTCTCTCTTGTATGCTCGTTTTCAACTACCAAAATGCTAAACTGATGAACATTAAGCATTCCGCTCTCGTCCCTTTGGGTATCAAACAAACCGAGCCATTTCCCCAGGTCTTTCGGTGTTCTTGCCTTAAAGCCAAAACTCATTGAGCGCCTTTCTCCGGCAACCAGCTCGCGGAAGGACCGGCGGAATCCAAGATAACGGCCAGGGACAGGCATTTTCTTTCTTTTTCTTTTTTTTTCCCTATTCGCCTCTACGCCATTAGCTAAATGAGAAGGTTCCTCAGCTCCCCCCCGGATCCGCCTAATCCAAAGCGTCTACCCATTTCAAGCGTACGGGAATGCAGGGTGGGGGGGAAGGTTCGGCAGAGAGGCGACCCACCTGTTCCTAGGTCGCTCGGGCAGCGGCTTCAACCCTTCTTCACCCACCCAGCCCAATTCTCTAGCACGCCAAATCCCCACCCAGTTCACAACCGCCTGCGTTAGGCTAAAACAGCCCCCGCGAAAGCTCGGGAATGAAGCCCGGGAAACGAAGGCGGCTGGGAAGCGCCGCTCCCTTTGTCTGACAGCCCGCGACCACCGCCCTCCCCAACCCGCAACTCGCCGTTTACTTCGCTTTGCACGCCCTTTACCAGCGAAAGGGAGCGGCCGAGGACGAGCGTTTGGAAGAAGACGGCGCTGCTACTGCTGTTGTCGTGGTGGCGGTACGGTAGAAGTAGCGGCGGTGGTTGGGAAGGCGGTTGAGGAGCGCCCCGTATCCTTCAACCCGAAGACACGGTGGCCATCTTCGCCTAGCTGCCGGCCAGGTCACGTGAGGCACCGGGCGCGCGTGCCCGCCCGAGTTGCTCCCCCGCCCTCGAAGGAGGCCAAGGTTTTGGAGCACGCGCCGAGCTGGATTCCGCCCGGCACCCCCACGACCTCCTATTCGCTCTTATAGGCCGCGCTCACGACCGCGGCGAGAGCCGAACGCTTTAAAAAAAAGGTGGGGGGGGAAACAGGGTTCGAACGGCTCCGCGCGACCCAATTGGCTAATGAGCTCCTGCCGTTAATTGACCTGCCACGGCCCAACGGCGGTATGGAAAGCCGTTGAGAAGTCCCGCAGCAACGGGAAGGCGACTGAGGGGGAAGGAGACGGAGATGTTTACTGTTGCCTAAAATCCTGCTCAGCTCCGTCGGGCGTTTCCCCTTGCGGATGTTATTTATAGGTGTGCACGGATACACAAACACGGAGGGCATTGTAGACAGTGGAGCCGAAACAAAGGTGGAAAGCAATAAAATCTGTTTCAAAATCTGTTTCAAATAGGTGCCAAAAGGTGCTTTTTCCAAAAGGCAAGTGGTCTTTCTTGGAAACTTAAAAAAAAAAGTAAAGTCCTACACTTAGGCAAGAAAAACCAAAAGTACACGTACAGACTGGGTGCATGGCCCTCAGGAAATGATAGGATTACCCATCTGGGAAGATTGCATTAGCCAGCACTCAGGTGAAGCCATGTGGTCCAGACAAAGTCTACAAAGTTAGCTAAGACCCCCGCCCCTGGGAGTCTGACAGCCATTTCTTACACAGGAACAGGAAACACTAAGGTGGGGCCCAACAGAGGGTGTAAAACCAAGGGATTCTCGGCATCTGCCCTTTTCACCCAGGAGCTCCAAGCCATGTGGTCCACTATTAAACCATCTTCCCAAACAGCCTCCATGTTTCCAGTGTCTTTTTCCCCACTTGGAATGGAACCCAGAAGGATATTGCTTCCAACAGTAGCATCTAATTCATCTTTTATATGTTAATTTTCAGAAGAATATGTACACTCAGTTCAAACTTTGAAGATGGAGGATCAATTACCTTGCTAACTTGCCTGTCCTGATGGGTACGGTTCCTAACGCAACTTTAGATAAGTTTTCATGCTGCTTTTCCACACAATGGCCTTACTTTATCAAATGTCATTGGCTCCAAATGACATTCATATCCATTTTGTCTCCTCTTCTGGAATAACTGCTGATATAGTCCAGTTGCTGAGATCAATATTCTGGTAATTGTCCAATATACCATAGTCAGGTGTGTCCAACTCATTAACTACTGTATAGTATATATTTTATCCACTCATGGCCCAGACAAGCCAAAAGACTGGACAATCATGGTCTACAACAACGGTCGCCAACCAGTGGGCCATGAGAAAATTTTAGTGGGCCGCAGAGAAATCTCACCCCAGATCACTCCCCCCAAAGCAATTAATCCAGGCTGCGCAGAAACACAAGGCTGCGCAGCCGACATGGCCCGTGGGAACCCTTCCCGCCCACTCACTCCTTACCCAGCAAACTTGCCTGCTAAATTGCTATTTTTCCTTTTTCCAACCATCATCTGTTCTTCTGTGCCGGGAGGTTTAGATTAGCTAGGAAGCAGGAAATGGTTGGATTTCTTGCTTTCTAGTTAGTCTTTAGATATTCAGCTCTGCTTTTAAGCACAGCCGAATCTCCCTTAGGACTGAAGGTTCTATTGTTCAGTGCAGACTCACGGCAAGCAAATTTTATGTGACAGACTGAGCTAGCTGATGGCAGATAGATCTCTGAATGAATCTGTGATTCTGTGAGCAACTCAATCTACCTGCCTGCTTTGCCTCATTTGGGGTAAATGTTGCTCTTTTTTAAATTAAAAAATCAATATTTATATAAATATTTATAATATTTACATACAAGCCATGCCCAGCCAGTCACATTATCACCAAGCCACACCCACAAATTAGGCCATGCCCACAGAAACGGTTAGTGATCCCTGGGATTTAAAATTATGAGTTTGGTGGTCCCTGAGGTCTAAAAAGTTGGCAACCCCTGGTCTACAGTAGGCCTGTCAAACTGGTGGCCCAAGGGGTGAATATGGCCAGTGGAGGCCACACCCACCCCAGCTTCGCAAAAGCAAAAAGCATCGCAATACATCATGATCCAGCCCGCTATGGGATCAAGTTTGACACCCCTGTTCTACAGTATGTCACTTGCCTCAACATGAGCATCAATAAAATTAACAAGCATATCGTAAGAATTTATTTCTTAAATTTTTTTCTTCAAAACACTAATCATCGTTTTGCCCAACAGTATCAGAACTCACATGAGATTCAACATCCAGATCCAGGAAAGGTGTATGTGTATGCCTTTGAGTCAGTTTTTGACTCCAGTTGACTGCCTGGATTAGTCCCTGCAGCCTTTTGTCAAAATTTTTCAGAAGTGGTCTGTCCTTGCCTGCTTCCTAGGCCTGAGAGGAATTTACTAGCCCAAGATCACCTACCTACCTTTGTGCCTAGGTGGGGACTAGAACTCAGTGTCTCCCAATTTCTACCCTTAACCACCAGACCAAATTGGATCCATCTAGGAAAGAATTATTATTTTGAAAAGCCTATCTGGCCTTTAGATAAAGGAGCTGAGTTCATAACTTTAAGCACTAAATGCAGGTTAACACAAGACATTAGCATGCTTTGCCCAAACATCATAGTATGATTGAACGTGATGGTTCTCCTAGCATGGCTGAATTCCCACAACAGGCTGAGATACAAGATATTTAATTCATTGAACTGCACTGTATTTGAGCCTAATCTGAGAGCAGCCAGTGAAGTTGCATTTATTGAATACTGATACTGTTTCCTGCAGTTGATGGATTTAGCCAAGGATTCTGGATTTCTGGTTTTGTACAGTGTACAAAGATGTTGATGTTGATGATGTTATCCATTCAGCCATGTCTGACTCTTGGCGATTCTATGCGCCAGGTCTCTCCCCATCAATGTACACAGAACACTACAGCAATTGGGTTATAGGACACACTGAGGCAAGCTAGTTTGTAGCTTGTTGTGGAAGAATAGAATGATTATAAAAGAGATCACTGCTGCTAAATCTTCCTTTTTTTCTGGTTGTTCTATATCCTGTGGGCACATAAAGTATGAACAAAAAATCATTGCAAGATTTTAAATTGTATAAACATTACAATAAAGGATCATAAAAATTGAGAGCCAACTATAGCCATTACCCCTTAGGAAATCTGAAATGGCACTTGGTTTGCAGGATCACTTAACCCAGGCAACTAAATATTTAACATGGTTTTTATCAGATGTGATTAAGCATGTCCTATAAATATTTTATCTGATAACTTCCTGAAATACTTCTGTTGTATAAAGGACTACACATCCAGATGGAGATGGAACAAAGCATTTTTTTAAGCCGGAACTCTATTATCCATAAAATTTTACTTACCTGATTTCAAAAAGCTAAGCAGAGTCAAACTTGGTTAGTAGTTCAGTGGATGATTACAAAGAAATCGCAAGACTGTAGCTTAGTCTGCAAAGTTGAAACAGGTCCCCCAAATAGGCAGGTTGAATTATTTCTATATTTCCTATGCTGTTGCCAAGAAGCTTACATGGGTGTGTTCGTTAAGTTCCCAGGAGGTGAACTCACCTTGAAGGAGACTTGACTTTATAAACAAGTTTTTAAAAGGGTACGGTTAACTGCTACCATCTCAAGCTGACTGCAGGACTAAGAGTATATGTCACTTACATAGTCCCAGTGAGTCATCTGAAATGCTAACTATAAAACCATGACTTAGTATTACTTCATTTTTATATACAGTCAAATATACAAACATCTAATTTAAACTCTAGGAGTGAAAAAAAATCTTTTGAGGCTAGATTCAAATCCTATAAAAAACAGTCAGTTTGGTCTAAGACTTAAGACTAGAAAACAAAAAACTTTGAAGTCCTGTATTTGCCATGAAAGTCAGTTGGGTAACTCTGGGCCAGTCCCTCTCTCTCAGCCCAACACTCCTCACAGGGTTGTTGGAAAGTAGGAGAAGCCTTGTAAAAACAATAAAGGTGGGATATAAATAAATCATACAACAGACTATTACTAGCAAACAATACCATTAGGCAGGGGTGTCACTCACAGCCCATGGACCAGAAGTGTCACACACTGGCCAAGCCCACCCACCTTTTAGCGAAGGGGGAAAAGTGATATGCCACATGATGACAACGTGATGACGCAAGTTTGACACCCCTGCCATTAGGTATTTTGACTCAGCATTATTTAAACCATGGTTCAATAAACTCTAAACAAGCCTGTTATATGAGTACACCACAAGCTTCTCTCATTCTTCCTCTAGAGAAAGTAGATTTTTGTTCTTAAATGGCATCCGAATTTTATATACATCTGAATGAATCCGACTTCTAAATCAAATCAGTGATGCTAAATTACACAAGTCAAACTCCTCTAACACTAATTTTATTAGCTATTTTATGGTAATAGGAAAATACTTAAGACAGGTTAATTAGCTCCCTTGCTTTTCTTATATTGGTATTAGTGAAGATGACAGAAAGTTTGACTAGTTGATATTAATCTCCTTCTCAAGGGTTTTGCAAAATCTCCATAAACATGCGTTTTAGAGGAATTGATGCTGATTGACACAAACTATTTGCCAAATAGCTAGCAATCATTTGCCATAGCTAACTAAGAATTCAAACTACCTGCATAGCTAAAGTTTCAGGCAAGCAAACACAATAAAGCAGGGGTGTCCAACCTTTCACCTTCCCTGGGCCACATTAGAAGATGAAAATTTGGTTTGGGCCGCACATAAAATAAAATAACAGTAACGATACCTGATCATCCAAAAAAACCATAGAAAACATAGTTAACATATTAAATTTATTTGGAAATGAAGTTAGTGAGATGTTTGACATTGTTTCTCAGCTACCAATGCAGAATTCCACAGCCAATTTTGTGTCAAAATCCGTTGTGTGAACCCAGCCTTAGTCTCCTGACTACCAGAAAATGGCACAGGCTGCAAGATGGCGGAGCTAATATAAG